GGATTGACTGGAATTGGACGAATCGTTCGCAACATCTGGCAGCTCGCTACCAGAGCCTTTGCGCGAAAGAAAATCAAGGAAGTCTATGGCTTGAGAAGGAGTTTCAAATATTGTGCACCAGATGCCGCACAATGCCAAACTATCTCCAATTACCAGCCGCTGTGCAATAGAACCCTCGACCAAAACAATGTGGAGCGTGCCCTCTTTAGGCGCCATTTTCAGGAACTACCTCATGGACGAAGTAAGCCTGAGAAATACTTGAGATATGATAGTTTGAGAGCAGGAAGCCATGCAGATGAAAAGTCCTCTCAAGGGCATTCGTCACAAGAACAAAAACACCCGGGCAGGCCAGGTTGTTCAAGCATCGTGAAGCAAGACTTACGATTTTATGGTTTTGAGAAGGCCGATAAGCCGCATTAAATGGCATAAGAATTCTATGCCGAGCGCAGTTGTTGCGCACACAACGAGTTGACCCAAAGCTGGAAGGAAATTAACTGCGCTTGCCCTTCAGGCCCGAGACGACTCGCCTATGCAATCAGTTATAAACAGACTGCCTTAGAAGCAACATTATACAAAGATCATGGCAACTGATGAAGCCAATGGAACGAAAGTGTTTCGAACACGAGAGCTGAAGCAATGCTGCTCAACCCAGGCAACTGGACCAGGACCCCCGGGCCCATGCCCCCGGCTTGCAGCAACAGGAGATTCGTACAGGTGTTAGACTACAGAACATATTGTTCATAACAAGTTAATGATACCCAGTGGTCCAGGAAATCTGTGAGCCCGCATCTGGCCTTAAGGCAGTGGACAGATGATCTGGCCAGTAACCAGCGCGGGAGGAAAGTGGTCTCCACTCAGCCTTCCAAGCATGCGGCCGATGACTTCCGTTCAAAAGTCTGGCCTCACATCGAGAGAAAAATATAGAATAGCTTTTGATTGCGCAGTTCTGAACAAAAGAGACAGGCAATACGAGAGAGTTAGTGGTCTTCCAGGAAGGTCACCAGGCTGTCAAGTCATAGACATTGCAGTCCTCCATGTGTACAAATCTTCAACGGGAATTTCTGAAATTAAACCAAGCATCTATCTACTTTCGTATTACCAATCAACAAGGTGTATGCGAACGGGATGCCATTGAACAAATGGACATGCAAAAACTCTCAGAATTGAGGGTGAAGCCATACCCATGACAACAAGGAATCCTATGCAAAAAGTCACTCAGTTTCAGCTGAGCTCAGTGCCCTTTGCATCCAGCGGGGCTGAGAACTGCCGAAGATGTATCGTGAGCACGGGCATTCTGGTTTGTCCATATGCTCTACCGATGTTGAAGCCAAGTTAGCAGCGCCAAAATGCGCTCGCAAAACTCCAGGAATACGTAGCCAATAACAAGCTCACTCCTCAGACCAGGGCACTGCTCTCAGCCTAGAAGGTGGAGAACTCGGGAAGCCTTTTTCTTGTATGATTAAGGGGAAGGCTTGCAAACATCAAAGCTTTTCCCACACCCCAGTCTGGCTGTCTACAATAGTGTAAATTTGAGAGGAACATGTACAGAGTGGCGTGAGGCATAATTAACGACAAGGCACCCTTAAGTACTTCCTCAAAGAGTAGCCGAAAATCTCAAGCTGCTATGGTGTGGGACAGCTACTCCTGTGCTCCGCTTTATAAGGATTAGTGGAGGTTTGCCAACCATCAAAACCACTATACAAAATGAGTAAGAATACGTCGGAGAGTACAGAAATAAGCTATAAAAAGGATAATGAACACTTAGAGTAGTGGAACGTGAAATAGTGCTAAGCTCGTGAAAAAGGGGTATTCCCGATCAGCACGTTATAGTCTGTTGAGATTTGGGGACCTGCACGTCAGCCAACACCAGTGTGCTCAAGTGGGCTATGCTATAGCTTGTCATCTTCTACTAAACCAGTTATATTCTTCATTAAGAATTAGTAAAGCTGTGAGGAGATCGTCCGATCTCTCCTACAAATATTATTTGTTGCAGATCAAGATGACATGCAATGATTAGACATTTTATGGAACCCGTGGGTTATTTCACAAAAATATCACTCACCTTTACGGTACTTCCATCAATCGTTAGAAAGAAACGACGATCTTGACCCAATCGGGCAGTACAAGTATCGGAGGAGTGTTGAGGCGGCTTTAAAATCCTTCCTGCAGCATCACCTCCTTAGGCTGAAATCAGGAGTGCGGTTTGTAAGTAGGATACTTTAAGGATCAGCGATCCGAGAAAATACAGGAACTTAGACGCAAACCCATAGAACTTCGCAACGTGTTTTGCAAGCGGGCAAAATACGCCCACGATTTTGTTGCTTCAATTTTCGCGGGAATCAGCCTCACTCCTGCAGCTGGAACATGAAGTTTTACAAACAATCGACTTCATGTAAAACGATTATTTCAGTGCGTCTACTTAGAGCTGTTTGTCCCGCAGCACCTGCACACTTACCTCAGTTGACCTAGGTGGTCGCGGAACTTTCAGGTAAATACAACGACACCATCCATGTAAGAAACCATCCAACCCTTCTTAATAAGCTTATTAGAATCCCTATTGCATAGCCCTTGCAGCTGAGCTGGGGCACTAACAAGTCTAAAGGTCATACATATGTGCTTAAGTTTGCGAGCGCAAGTTTGCAACAGCTCTTTGTGCCCGTCATGTGGGTGGAAAGGGATTTGTACGAAAATGGCTGTGGAGTCAAATGCCAGATACGCCGTTATTATTTTTACTTGCTGGAGGAACTCGTCAATATGAGGCATCGAAAGCTTCTGCTTCTTAGTATTATTATTTAAGGGCTTAAAGTTAATGCCGACGCGGGAGCCTCCGTTCTTCTATGGCCACAGCACCAGGTTATGCCCAAAGGCGCTGGTCCAACCCTGCACTTCGCCTTTTTCGAAAATAACCCACCAGCCGCTCTTCATGCTGTAAAAGGCTCCCGATGCGGCGGGACATGGCTTGCGGCTAACTCGAAGATTAGCTCAATACGCTACACTGGATAAGCAGCAGGTAGCCAGCCTGCTGGGACATCGCCATTTAAGCTCACTGATACATCTATAAACAGTTAGTCGGCTTACACATCAAGCCTCTTTACCATCTGCGGAGCAGTTATGCTCAAAGCAGCTTGCAGGACGAATACTGCCGTTCAAACGAGCGTTTTCCGCTTTAAAGTAACAACGAAATAGAAGTCACTTGTCAGAGTGTTGCAAAAAAGCTTCCATAATTGATTTGTGATACGACCCAATCAGAGCCAGACATTTGTTGTGAAAGCTGACATCTGGGTGAGCAGGACACACCTGCATCCACCCCTACGGAACAGCTGAGTCTATAATTCCAACTGTCTCCGTGAGATGAAACTTTATTCACAGCTCAATACAAGCGTGAAAAAAAATTTTTCAGCGCTCTTAAAGAATTTCTGTTTTCTCCTGGCGTCAGAGGTTTTACCAATAAGGGCAAACGAAGAGCTAGGGTGCGCATCGTTGCATACTCCAAGCACTCCGTGCGCTCATAGCTAGTTTCAGGTAGTAACTAGCACACGCTCACACAATGCGGCTTGTTGCATCGAGCTAACTGTCCCCTGAAACAAAAATAAATAAAGAAGCAAGCCAGTTAGTCAATTTCTTTACATTAGCTAAGTGGTAGGAAATATGGAAGTGTAACATAGCCCACTACACTTCTACCTCACTTTGGTGAAGTTTTATCATTCTCAGACTCCTACGAGTTCCAATATTATACTCGGCCAAATGCTCAATGACACCTACGTGGAGCGGGGAAGGAAACGTCGAAGCAAGTAGCCCGGCAAGAGCCCCGGATTGCCAGTACTTCGCGATTATTTATTGCAGCCACGTTCACAGTTGTGTAAAACAGCCACTGGTAGCCACACAGTGTAATACAGTATAGGGGTAGAAAGCATACAAAATATACTGGCAAGCCGTTCACGTCAGTCCACAGCGTGGAAAAGGCTAAAACCCCTCGTGCGTAGGTTGTTGCTGCCGTTCGGACGGTTGGATCAAAGGATATTGTCGTACGATGGAGCCTCCGACCTGAAATGAGAACTTAGGTACCAGTGGTAGTACTAGTGCAACAAAGTGGCAATGGGTCCGTTTCGTCTGGCCACGGCACACTTTATCCTAGCAGCAGCGGGCTTTCCCACAGAATAGTCTGGGTAACATTTATGAAACTGTTGCTAGTGACATTCGTTGAATTATTCATTAGTTTCTGTAACGTGCAGTCCCTTTTCATGGAACTCGGGCTGAAAGTGTCGGTAGCACCGGCGCTGGCCCAGGGGGCAGCCCGACAACCAGGTTCATGACCCTTTGTAAATTCCAGTATATCCACTTAATAAACAGTTTGCTGAATTCAGAGGCACTTCAGTACATTTGTCAATACCGATAAAAGCACTAACGTTCCCCGGACGTGTACTGGCATCTCTACAGATGATGCATGCGAATTGTTCGTGTCTTATCTCCACACGACAAGCGCACTTCATATGAAGCCCATGCAGTCTTGTTGAATGCATTCTGTATTGCCAGCTGCTTTGTCCCTTGTCACCATCGTCAACCCTGTATCAAATCGCGGTTAGTATCTTGTCGTGTCATCTAGGCTGAAGTTACTTTTTTGCGGCACGCCATTTGACCTTCGTTCAAGCGTGTCTTAATGAGGCAGCTTCACCGGAAAAGATCTACAACGATGTGAATGTCTCATAGGTATCCCCAATTTCAGAGTCAGCGCGGGAAGAACCAAACACCGCGGCGTATTGCAGCGAATGGGTGTACTTTTTGCTTCTTGAAGTTGATTTCCGCCTGCCCAAATGGAGCACATTACCGATATTACTCTTAATGACGGCGAGCATTGAAAACAAGCTCATCTTCTCACTACGCCAACTTCCTCTGGCAATATATGCTTCCCTTGGTATTCGTGGGTTGGGGTTCGGCCTAGCGCCAGCATCTGCTTGGTTCGTGGGACACGGCAGAAAATTCGCGACGCAACTTACAAAGCGATGTCTGCATTCAAAAAGTATAATCCAGGGGAGGGTAGGAAAAGCCGCACCCCGTCGAAGTCCCACCAGACGTGTATCCCTGTGCACCTTCCCGGCTCTCCAAGAAATATGTCACTAAAAGCACCGCCTTCTGTTCCACATTCTACTGGTGACGAACTACACCGATCTCCGGGCGGCCTCATGAGGTCTGGGTCTTTTCTCGCCAATCCAGGTTCCAGAGCAGTGTTGTGGCAGCTGGCTGTGATTATAGGACTGACCCTCCCTCTTCTGGCTTTAGGCATGTTCTTTTTTATCAACGGTTTTTTCCTTTCTAGAGACGACGTGCCATACATCAGCGACGGAAGGGAGATACCCTTTCCCCCCCTTTTTCCTCACTTGGACCCTGCTCGGATACACCTAAACACAGAACAGGGAGTATACTATGTGCAGGCAAGCCAGGGTGCCGCGCGTTCGAATGCACTTCAGCAGACTGAAGCGCCAGCTCCACTGGAGTTAGAACATTATCTGCATCCCCAGCTTGAAGCATTTGCCTCAGAACCAGACGCTTGCACAACTTCGGAGTGTGCAACCTCGTGGATTTCTGTGTTTCCGTACGACCGTGTACTGATTCTATTGGTGGATGCTCTGAGGTTTGACTTCCTCCTTTGGGATCCCAAGGCTTCGAATGCCTGCGGCACCAGTGCAGCCTCTGAGTGTGCCCCTGCGCCTTTGAGCCTGCGGCCTTTCTACAGAAATCGAGTACCTTTCGTACATGACTTACTGCGCCGCTCGGATGCAGACCTACAGCGTTTCCTTTCTATCCTGGTGCGGGGGGGAGAAGCACGTGCCAATGAAAGCAACGGGGAGGACACATCTGCATCGCAGAAAGACTCAGCTTTACTTGCAGGCGGCCTTCCTGCAGACCCACCTGTATCGCACTCCAGTTCCGCAGGGTTGTCATCAGCCTCTGCGTCGGGAGGAAATCATTTCAGTCGACTTTACATATTTGAAGCAGATCCCCCGACTGCTACCACGCAGCGTCTGACCGGCATTGCCACGGGCAGCATGCCCAGCTTTTTCAGCGTAAGGATTTCCGTACTACCCTCAGAAGCACACAGCTAGAACGTCGCGTAGTGAGCCGTGTAGAAACGTTTTCTTTATTGCACACGGGGGCCGAATGCCTTGATACTGCCCTTTACTCCTTCAAGTTTATGACACTTCAGCGATGTAGGGTCCGTCTCTCTGCGACTGGCAGCTTTGGGCGTAGCTTATTGGTTTTTATGGGAACGCTTTTGTCTCAGCTCCGGGAAACGTTTTCAGCATCGGCTGTCAACGTGGACAGCCTTCTGATGCAGGTTAAGGCAGCAAGAAAGACATCAGTTGCTATCGGTAGGTATATTTGCTAATCATTTCAGCGTTTGTTTCTTGCACTTAACTGCTAGGCAGTGGATACAGTTGTATATCTCGGGGTTGAGGCTGCTCTGTGATTTTGCCAGGGGATGAAACTTGGTACCACTTGTTCGGCCATCTCCTGACGAGGGCCGACGTATTCCCCTCATTGAATATCCAGGACCTGCACACCGTTGACGACGGGGTTGCGGCGGGACTGCCTAAGGAATTTGTGTAAGCTTTGATGGCATGAGCGGGGACCACTCCTGTACCACTACAAAGGACACATCTTTTTCTTTGGTGTTTTCATGCTACTCCCTTGTAGGCCTTTGACTCCCACATGTGGGTGATACTGAAATTTCGGCGTATCAAGGCTCGTGCATTGGCGTGCGATGATTGCACCTCTTGTGTTGCGTGTCGTACAAATGGTGGCCAGCACACTGGTGTAGTATGGTATGCATACATAATTCGCTGAGGCTGAACGAAAGCCTCCAACAAGAATTAGCACAGGGAAAAGCAGCGCGTTCAACCTTATTTGGTCTCGAATTGTTCTTTTGCGTATTATCTAGGAAGGGTGATTGGGCATTTCTTGTTGGCCACACTCTTGGTGTGGATCACGTGGGGCATGTGGCAGTCCTGGACACGGACTTGATGCATGCAAAGTTGAGAGAAGTCGACAGCTTGATCAAAGACACGTTCAAAATGGCCTTTAAAGAACATGGGAAAGGAATGCCCACCAAGCGGCCCCAGACGCTTTTCCTGACCTTTGGAGATCACGGAATGACTGAGGTTGGGGCTCATGGAGGCAGCAGCAACGAAGAAGTGGGTAGCACACGGTCTCTTGTAACATGGGGGACTGCTGCTGTTTTCTGCAAGTTATTGGTGTGATTGTGCAGTGTTGCGGTTTATTGGGGATCGAATGCCTACTTTGGCCATCGTGTGGTAGTTTGCCGCGGCTCGCGTGCGTGTACGGTCTGATACTTTGCGCTGACAGTGTCTGGTTTACGAACTCATTTTCATGTGCAGGTCGAGGCAGCAATGTTCACCTTCTCCACGCTGCCAGCGATCCTGAGCCCTCGGAGTGCACAGTTTTTTTCGCCCGATGCGCGCCTTTTTGGCAGTCGACTGCCATCATATTTGCAAAATCATGGCGCATTCCGTGACAATAGTGGCCGCCTCACGGTTGTATCCAGTACTGCCTCCCACATGCCCTCACTTTCCTCGGATCTCGGTTACGGGGCACTCCGCGTACGTCAGGTCGGCCTGGCGCCGACACTGTCGTTGCTTATGGGGCTCCCCATTCCGTTTAATTCCATGGGTAGGATCATAGCAGACATGGTCCCGAGCCTTGGGAGCTTTGTGCAAGAGTGTATGCCAGCCGCAAGAAGGGAGTCTGAGAACTCGGCTGCATGCGGGGCAATGGATGGCGAAGTGTGCAGTGAAGCGCGTGGCAACGACGAGGCTGCAACTGTTCGGGCGGTCCGGTGCAGCGATTTAGCGTATTTAGCGCAGCTCTTTCACATTGTTTCGTGGCAGCAGCACCGAGCTGTCCTGACTCATGCGGCATATTCCGGCAACGATGCTGTGCTGACAGACCCACAATTTGCAGCGTCGAAGTCTGAGTGGCTCAGATTATATTCCGAACTAGACAATCAGATAAAGTCTTTGCCCGCTGGAGCGCATGTACGTTTGACACAAGGCTCAGTAGCGCCGGCCGCGACGCCTCTTGGCCTGGACTCCGTTTTGTCGTTGCCTCCTGGTGGCTTTGGTAAAGCAGAGGAAGAACTGGCCTTATTCATTTCCAACTTGGATAAAAGCACGGTTGATGGCAAGGATGGAAATGTTGACGAGGGCCCCCCAACTTTGCGAACGAGTGCAAAAGCGGATACGGGCATCGCCTCTATTTTGCCATCTCTGTTGCCCTACTTGCTGGCCTGTGCCAATTTCTCTCAAGAGGCATTACAAGCAAATGTACGCCAGCTCGGGACTTTCAATATGACTCTAATGCTATGCGGCATATGCATGGTGCTCAGCAGTCTTCTTATTTTGATTTTCGGCGTCGTAGGAATAATCCATTTGCCGAGCAGACGCCCGTATGAGCCTTCCAAAACCACGATTTCCAACGGAATCCCCAACATGGCCATCCTCACTCGGTGGTTACTCACAGGTACATATATTGGGGTAGCAACGTGGACAGCAGCATGGACCCTTTCAGAAGTATGCAAGTATCTGCAACTGGAGTCGGGTGCTGGCATCGACGTATTTGTGTGGCAGCAGTTGCCGGCACTTTGCATAACTGGAATATTGTCGTCGGTAGCTATTCCGTTCGGCCTATGTACTCTGCCGCCATACTTGGATGCCTCTGCATTTAGGAATTCTCAAGGATCACCGCAAGAAGAGGCTGAGCCTTTTTTCATCGAGCAGCAGAGGGCTCAATGGGGATTTTCTGCAGCTTTAAAGCGGGAATTATGCCTTTCTCGTTTGTATCTTCGCCTCTTTGGCGGCGGCTCTTTTCTCTTCTATGCTTCTCTGATTCTCCTGTTCTTCGTGCCCTTCAGTGATTGCCTTGTTGACAGAGAGTACTCAGTTGTCAGGTTTCTCATTGGCATCTATTGTCTTGCTGCTTGCATTGCAACCTTTGCCACACACGCAAACAGTGCAGAGAAGACAAAAATTGTCGCTGCGTACGCACGCTCACTATCCACAGAATGGCCGCCTGTTGTAGCTCCGCTTTTGAAATCGCCTTGATGATAGTTGCCTGGGCATTTTTTCGACGGAAAGGCTTGCACTGATGCAAAAGTTTTTGTGTGATCGGTGTAAACGTGCGTATCATCCGGTGGTGTGTTTCTGTGTGATTCAGGTGCGCAAGCATCGTGTTTTGTGTCCGCGTGGGAAGCGCTTTTGATACCTCAAGTTCAGTGGGACGTGATGGCTCAGAAAGTAATCCTCTGCAGGTTGACTATGTGAGCTCTGCAGCGTTTCTGATGCTCGGCATGTTTTACATAACGGGAAGGAGGGAGCTGCCCCTCGTCTCCTGGCTGTTTCGCAGTGCGCCAAATGGCGACGTTCATCAGGCTTCTGGGGGGTATCGCAGATTCCTTATTCTCAGCTTTCAGCCACAGAAAAAGTGCGAGAAACCGAGGCCGTGTACTCTGGAGCGTATTCTTTTTCTTACCCAGGGAATCATTTTACTACTATGGTTTGCAACACCCCGCGAGTCAAAGTCAGTGCAGTCGTCTTCGTCAAATCCGGAGCCCGCGCTGGTTGTTCAAGATGCGACTCCATTGTATGATGCAGTTGCATGGCTGTGGTCGTTGGCCATGATACCATTCAGGACTTTAGATGCTGCTGGCAGTGCATGCCTGGACTGGCTGGCGCCGCCGAAACCGTGGCTTTTTTCGGCTCCCCACTGGATTGTCAACACAATCCCCCCTCAGGTTATGGAAGCGGACAAAGTCAAGTTAATACCTTTGCTCAATGTGGCTCTGCCCTGGATAGTCTACTCCATAACTGCGGGGCTTTGGTTGCGGCTGATGCTCATCCTTGCCCGCATGAAGAAGCGAGAAAACGACATAAGCGTACACCACCTGCATCGCGCAGCTACGCAGCTGAGCAGCTCGAATGACGAGATGATAGACTGCTCTCAAATCGATGATGCTTCAGAGCTGGCTCTCCACAGGAGGGAAAGGCTTTTTCTTATATGGCGTGTGGAGGTGTGGGATTACTTCTCGCACTATTTCTTCCTTACGGCAGTCACTCCGCTGTGCATGACCATTATGCTTCTTGGAAGCGTGAATATATGGCCTCTTCTTCTCTGTTGCATAAAGTGGAGGTTGCTGATCTTCTTGAGTCGCGTTGTTGTTGCGGCACAGCCATGTGACATCGGCCACAAGTGCACCTGCTGCATCTGCGCTGTACGACCCACAGCTGCCCCAGCCTCAGCTGCCGTGCCCCATGAGACAGATACCAAAGGTACTAGCAGGATCCAGAAGAGATCACAAGGCGGAGAAACGCTGCGCTTTTTCCTATCAGACGCGAGTGTCTGTATGCTTGCTGCCCTCCTCGTTCTTGATGGTTTTTTCGCTACCGGGCACAGAATGAAACTCAGCGCCATCCCAATCGAGGCAGGCTACATCGGATTGATGGAGTATCATCCTATCTGGTCGTTTGTTACGGCATTCCTACACACCTTCATCGTTTATATCATCTGCTGCCCGCTTATATTCATGATTGCATTTATGCGCATGGCCCACCGCGCCGCCGGAACAGGCATCCACAATGCAAATGAACTTCAAGGGAACACCGTCACAGAAGTGGTTCGAACCACGTTGCTTACATCTGGAAAACTCGCTATCGGGTATTGCACTATATGTGTGTGCACAAGGGAACTTGGGGGATCATATAGGACACAGATAGAGACAAAGCCTTTGATGAGCACTAAAATTAAGACACTATGCATACACTTATTGGTAATGTTGCTTAAATCTGAGCTGCGAAATCTGGGTATTTGTTATTGCAGGATTCTCATTGGCGTAACCCTGAGGCTCCTCAGTTCTCTATCGTCCCTGACAGCGCTCCGAAATCACCTGTTTGTAGGTCTAGGCTCTCCAAAATACACCGACACCTGCAGGAGTACGATGATGTTCTATGCGCGGATAATGACAGACTTTAACTGTGTTTGTTTTCTCTTATGCAGATATGGGACCTGTTTGCCGCCAAGTTCTTGTATGATGCACTTGCAGTTTGCTTGACATATGTACTGGTGGTTTTGACTCTTCTACTTTCCTGCATTGGAGCGCGGCGAGCGCCCCTGGTTCTGCGCATGATATCGTGACAATATCGTACCCATTCTTGAAAATCGTCAAGTATTTTTCACGAATACATTCGCAGAGCTACAAGCTGCGCGCATGGTACACTCGCTTCGAGAGGACTGTGTACGCGCTTCTTTGAAAAAACTATTGAGGCCATACCCAGTGAGCACCCACCAACCTGGTAAGGACATATGAGCCCTACGGCATGCCTTACATAAGTGCTTTGTATGTAGGATTATTCACTTGATATGCCACCACAAAAACTGCTGCAACCACATGGAGATGGCGGTGTTACATGCCAGATGCCATCTTCATGATCCAAAGCTCGTGTTTCGCAGCCTGTAGCGAACACATCACTCTCATAGGATGTAGTTTTGGCGCAAGTATGATTATTGACAGTATTTATCGATTTAAAGCTCATTTCCAACGACACGAAATGAAGAATTCGGCGGCTTACTTTTTCCCCACAATGCGGGCTCCAGTATTGTCGACCCCGTCTTCCATCATGATCTTCCTTAGGTCCTGCTGCGCTCCCCTCATGCGGAAAAGTGCACCTCGCTCATCTACCCTCTGTGTTGCGTCGTAAGGGCCGGAAGGGAAAACATTTGGTACTCCAGCATTCGTGGTAACTCTTCGACCACAAGAGACAACGGGGGGCACACCAAGGGTGAAGCGAGAATTTGAAAAACCCGGGTGCGGGGCATACCCTTGGATTGGTGGTCTCCTTTCTGCCATAGGGACAAACGCGCTGCGCCCTCCTACAGGATTCCGCACGGAAGGCAGCTGCCGATAGTAATGCGGTTGGTGTGCCAAAGGCTTATTAAGATCCATTCGTCCATGGTCAGGAACTGGGGTGTAGGCATCTGGAAAGGACACTTCAGGCACTCTAAATTCTTGTGTGAAGGGATCCTGGGAAGCTCCAAAATGATCAAACTGCTTCAAGATCTCATGCTTTGCACGCCGGCCTATAGCGCATTCACCTACAAAACCATTGAGCTATATGACGAAAACACTAAAAATTCCACACCCTCGTAATACCAGTTTAAACCCTTGGGGAGACTGCAGTCCTAGAGTAGCGAGAAGAATATTGATCTGGTTAAAACCAATGCGCTGCTTTACCTGCATTTTTGGCCAGGGAAAAGAAACCGCTGAACAGCAGTCGCTGACGAAGGCGCCTGAGCCAAAACCCCGCGCTTCTTCATAACTGGCATCAAACAGTATGTAAACGGAATGTAATAAATCAATGGGAAGCAGCAGCCAAAGGCGCTTACTTGGTGAAAGCTGCAAGTCTGTACACTCCAATTCTTGCTGCCATTTCCTTGTACGCGGACACTCGCAATTCATTGAATTTTTTCTGTAACTTGTCAATTGTAGTATTTGACTCGACTTCTGTTGTCACTTTGTGTAGCCTGAAGCAATTAGGTGACACGCCGGCGAGGGCCTAGCTCGACAAATATTCAGCTTCACCACAACATAACTTTATTTCTGTCCCCAAAACGTACCGTAGAAACGCCCATAACACCTTCTTGTTCAATATTTGCTGTACAGACAATAGGAGCCATCGAATACCGAGCTCCTGATGGGGACCGCCTTTATTGTAACTTTGAGTGCTGCTGCGGCTCATGGCGACGGTGTTATCTCCGATAAGCGCCTGCTCCACTAATGCAGCCTGAGCAACACGAAAAATTTACTTTTAAGGCAAAGCAGCATGGGTCAACAATACGCGAAACAGGCAGTCGGTTAGGCTTGTCAACTTTCTCTCTTGTTTGTTGTGGCAAGTGATCCCAAGACGTTTTACCTTGCTTTGCCTTTGATTCACTCCCTCTTGCTGTAACTCAGCAACCTGCATTGCAGCGAAAGCCGCTACAACAGCGATCAGTAAGAGCGCGTAAAATCGTTAGTTAACAATTTAACGCTAGCAACAATAGGGTATCTAGCTCCAGTTAGGGTCTTTGACGATCTAGAATACCATGTTCAACGTACTTTGGCCATGAGCCTCTCGTTTTCAGCCATCAAAAACATCTGTTCTTTGCGAAACTGCATGAGTCTCGATTCTATTGCATCTTGCCGTTGTTCTCTGGATCCGCGTGAGCCGCCGATGAGGTAGACAAGCTGCTGGAAAGCCCAAGCTTTGTTCCAAAGGCTGGCATCTGTCGGCATGCACGCCCGTGATATCATCTCGACTGCTCTCCCTTTAAGTAATGCCCGAAATGCCAACCGTTTAGCTTCCTTTATTGGCATAAGCTTTGCTGCCTGGATTCGCATATTTTCCTCCCTTTTAAGCAGTGTGTTGATGAAAGCAGCTTGAGTTTTCGCTTTTTCTTCCAGTGCTTGTGTCGCTGTTCGCGAAATGTCGTTTAGCTCCTTCATTTGTGCAAGGGAAGTTGTAAGCGTCTGCATGCTAGCAGTAAGCGCTTGAACCCTGCCCTGTTGCTCTAACAGCTCCGACTGCTTATCTTTAAGCTCCTTCTGATGCGTTTGTGCTTGAGTCTCGTGCACTTGGAGATTTTTTTTTTGCTTTGCTTCAAACGACTTCATCAACACACTTCTTTCCTTTTCAAAGTCTGCTGTTTTGGCCTTTAACTCTTTCTCCAAATGATCAATTTTCCCTTGTAACTCGCGGACTGATGCGTCACATCGCATCTTCATACTGTTCTGTCGAGCCAGAGCTTCCTTCTTGAATTCCTCCATCTTGTCTCGCTCCTCCTTTCTGGCCCGACTCAATGCTGCTTCGTGCTCTAATCGGTCTTGGTTGATTTCTCGGGCAAGGCTTGACCGGAGTTCCTGTTCCATACGCTCAAGTTCTTCCTTATGCTTCCTGTTAGCCTCTTGTGCCTGCGCCTCCAGTTCTCTGATTCGCCGCACTAATTTCTCAAGGCGCCCTTCGAGCCCCTGAGTAGTAGCTTGATCGACGGCTGTCTTAGGTCTAGGTGACTGGGCAGAATCCGATCCAACAGATGGTAGGTTCTGTGGCATATTGGGAGAGGCTTTGTGCTTCCTCGGACTCTCTGACACCGTATCAGGCCATGGATTCGTATGTACTCCAGGTTCTTGACCCGAACGCCCTCTTGGGAGTCTAGGCTGCTGCTTAGAAAATGTCATCAAATTCTTCGAAGCGGAAGCTCCAGTTGCGGGGGCTCTCTTTTCCGCTGCACCCATCTGGGTATGGTGCGGGGAGGCCCTACCGCCACCGGTATCCCGCGGTTTATCCGAGACACCGCGTTGCCGTGACGGTCCCCACGCATCTTCAGCCCTGCTTTCTTGTAAGGCTGTCGCTGTGGCTTCCTTAAAGCCGCCAGCATCCTGCCTTGCGGAAGGTGTCTTGGTCCTACTACTTTCCTGCGCATGTCTTCTACTAGGCGATGCTTTAATCCTCTCTCTGCCACGTGGTGTACCCGCAGTTACGGCCGCTTCAGGCAGTGCCACTCTCCCTTGAGTTGTGAGGGGTATACTTTCCACGGGTTTCCCAGAAACAGGTTGTTCTCCAGGCTTAGGGGCATTCTTTGAAGCCATCCGATTGAGCGGCTGGAACATGTCTTTTCCAAGTTCCATGGAAGTGCTTTTTGCCTGACGTTCCTTCTCGCGCTTAACGCTAGCAGACCTGACAGCTACCGCGCTTTTGACTCTTTGAACCGGAGGTATAGACGAATCTACAGCCAAAAGGGGGTCCTCCGATCCCAGTGCGGGGTCCGGTGCAGCACGCTTTGGGTCACTCTTTTGTGATACCGGGACATATAGAGAGCCCAAAACATCCACCGAAGGCGGTGGAGGTGCTTTTTTCGGAGGTACCTTTGGAATGTCAGAATGCTTCCCAGGCGTCTGAAATGCCACGGGCTTCATATCTTGGGAGGCATGCGGTGATGGTCTACCTTCCCCTGCGGCTGCTCGTGCTTTTTTTGCGAGCTGCCCCTCCGAAGAGGCATGCTTCGGGGTCACATCGTTACTAGAGGAGCTTTCAGACGAAAGGACTAGCTTGGAAGGTCCTTTTGCAACATGGGAAGCCGAATGCCGAGGTGGCGGCCCCATTGTGGCCCGCCACGTAGGGCTAAATCAACACCTGTCGCTGGACCCAGGGTAATATGCTGTAAAATATGCTTAACTTCCGGTTTCAGGCGCCGCATTGAACCACACCAAGTCACCGAGCCATGCCCTCCTGCCGACAAGCCCAGACGTGGCTCTTCATGCAATATATGCATGTGTGCTACTCAACTTCCCACCTCTCATGGATGCGGCCGGAGAGATAACGAGGAATACAAGAACTTCTATCAAGAGCGACGGGGAATGCAGATCTTCATCATCGTGACGTTCGAGACTGTGCTTCCATCAATCTTTCATTTTAACACGCGGAGAACGATGTAGCACAGTTGGCTTCTCCCGGGATGCTGCTCTTAACTCTTCTACAAATAATACCTTCACTGCTGTTGAAACATATTCATACAATCCACCAGCAAACAAACTAAGGATGCAAACAGCTGTATTGGGGTGGATGGAAGTGCTTGAGCCATAATACACGCACTCTACAAAATTGCTGTGACCCCTTTAGGGACCCGGGCAAAGGAGCGGCACACTTCAGAAAATGTGTGCGTCCTGGATCATATTCATGCTGGAAATAGGGCTAATGAGGAAAAGACAATGCAGCGGGCAAAGTGAGCACATGCGTTCTCACGCCGGTGGTCTGGTTTTGCTGGGGCCGGCAAGTAAACGTCAGTCCATCACCACGCCTTCTCTCAAGAGCTTGATCCTCAGCTCGAAAGAGAGAACAGGTACAGTCTTTTGAAGAATGTGTACTCAATCAACTGCGACCCCCTGGCATGCAGCGGAACCAAGGCCACGCAGTATCGCAGTGGCAGCCGTGGTCTGGCCTGTCCACTGCAGTAAAATGGGGCTACATGCGGAAGACACCCCATCAGAAATGAGCGCCAAGCGATTCATTGGCAAGTTTTCTTCTCAGTAGCTCCAAGCTGAAATGTGGAAATGCGGCCAGACTTACTTCATGCCGAGTTACTGGCCCGCCCTATTCGCTGTGCACCTCAAATCAGCGCACAACCCATTGCATGACAAAACCGCGTAATCTTCCAAATTTTAAGCGGGGCTATTTGCTTGAAGGCTATCGGCCGTGGTAATTTTAGCTTTAGAAGCGCACAGCGTCGCAAAGATCAGGGTGGAAAGAATCCGTTGTGAAGGCTGACGCAGGCTATTGATTCAGCTGTGAATGGATTCCCATTGCTCTTGCGGTCTCTTGAATGCCTCTGAAGGTAAATTCAGACGCACGCAACCAACTGTTTACATTCCCACGAATACCCTCTCCTCCAGCGACCGATTATCGCCCCCTCGCACATGCCCGAGCACGGCAAGGAGTCAGTTAGAGAGACTGGACGACCGTACGGCAACCATTTTAAAATCCAGCGGGTGCGCACAAATCTGACTGTTGGGAACTCGTTCATGACATAGAAAAGAAACGTGTTGTGCTCCCCAAGTCCGACGGCTGCATCTTCGTAACTACATCTACGTTCTCCACGCTTTCACACTTAAGTTGCCTCAACAAGGAGCCGATTTTTCGTCATATGGTGTCATTGCACACTTCTACCAGAGGTCGACCCAAATTCATTTTTTTGAATGCAGAAACAGTCTTTGGGCAAATCACGAGATTCCCCTAGGATGGATCCCCTAGTGTCCAGCACAACGGCATGCTGGGCCCCATGCTTGCTTCCAGATTCTGCACGCAACAGACGGATGGTAATGCCGGAAAACCGCTCGGGATCAGTGCCTCCGTCGGTAGGAGGCCCACGTGTCACGTCTAAAGTAGCTTCGCTTAGCTCGCAGCGCGTTTCCCTGCCTCATGATGATGACCCACTACACCATTTGGATCATTGTGGCGAGCAGTTTCCGACCCGCGTGGGTAAATTTCTGGAACCAGAAAATCCACTATCTTCTTCTCTGTCCAATTTCACGGATGGAGCAACTGTACATACTCCAGACACGACTGAAGAGACTGCACGGGACAGTTCCCGTCCCCCGTCATCCGAAAACTGCATGCGTCGCCGCACCGCGAGACGGCATTTTTCTGCTCCAAGTGAAGGCACAAGCCTTGTTGCCGCCACAGCGCCAACCCGTGCATGCACTCCTCGTATTCAACAACTTACAGATTGGAAGGCCTCTGCGGCTGCTTCTCAGGACACCGAAAGTACATGCGTCATCATTCGTGATGAGAGATACTCATGGGAGCATATCACTGGACGACGCATGCACAGACCCACTGAAATGTCAGCTCATTGTAGCAGAAGATTGTACCCCATAGGCAGGTCTCCTGGGGAGCACCGTGCTGGTGACACTCACGGGAACCCCGCTGTAGGCATTGTTCATTCAGTATTTTCAAGCTTTCCAGCATCATTCAGGGCCCTCTTTCGGAGATTATATGGGGGGCAGCAGCAGTCCTTGGTATCTCCCTCGCGAGCAAGTCAACAGCAGGTTTCCCGCCAGCATCACCGCTCTCCACACAGCTTGAATTCGCTTTCTTTGATTGCAACGGGTCCAAATTTCCTTAGAGGCCCAGCAAATGATTTTGAGCACTTTGTAGAGGAGCATGAGGACAGTATGATGTTCCGAGGCTACGAACTTGACCACCCAATTTTTTTCATACTTTCTGAAGGAGATGAAGCTGAGGAAGTCATGCCTCTGGCCTCGAGAAATCCTAACGAAAGGCTATTATCACTCCGGCAGGTGCTCAATGCTCATAACATAGGCAACAGGTTGAATGTATATGCATTTAAATGGACATACGATGAAGGAATGAGGGGAAATGGGCACCCAGTTACAAGGTGTTTTTCTTCGGCAGGTAGCGAAGAGGCTGGAAGTGTCAAAGGGGCATTACAGAGAACTTCGACAAAAGATGACGGCGGCTTTGGAATCCCTTCTTGTCAGCCTCAAGATCAAGATGCTCACGGGTGTTGCATATGTTTAAGCAGCTTCAAAAGAGGCGAATCGATGTTCACATTGCGGTGCTTTCATATATTTCATGCAGAATGTTTGGAAAGGTGGATCCAGACAAGCTCTACAACAAAATGCCCTTTATGTTTCACAGAAATCGCTGAGTAAGCTAAAAATATCAGGGTACAATTGAAAAATCGGGGCAACATCTTGTGATGTATCTTTTAAGTACCTGTAATTTCTGTCGTTTCGATAAAACCATATTACGCTCCGAATTAAATCAATGGCCATGATTGCAGGAACAGTGGCTACGCCTGGGGAGTCCCCGCCATTACGACCGCCTCGAAAAACAGCCAGTGGTTCAATTGCATACACAAGTGCTGCGAATAGATTTTCGGTGTATAACCTTGATCATGAGCATTCTTAATATATGTTAGCGGGGTTTTAAATCCTGCGTGTACGGCGTGGAGTGTTATAGTCTCAAGACTTCATACCTCAATGTCAATTTTGCTCGGTGCCAGTGTTGCACTTCATTTCGCCACAATTCTGCCTATTCTTACGGAGTTCTACGCGGAAGTATAAGCAAGACTTTGCTTATAGTATACCACATTCCTGAGCTCCCTATTTCATTGCAGTTGTCATGTCCGACAGGTGTATGTTTGTAATGGCAAAATGGTTTCAAGAGACAGACTCCATATTACCGCGTTTCACGCTAGAAATACTTGTTTTTGCTTCCTCTACGCAAGGAAGTATATGTGCATCCCCTGCAATTGTTTCGCATTGATCGTATGCATATACCACATTTGGGTACGGAAGGATCTGTCAAAATGATTTGTGCCGCAGCATTAAGTTCTTTAGCGCGAAAACTGTCGCGAATAATTAGAGCATGGCCTAAGGCCCATCCAAAGTCTTCTGGAACTCTGGACACACTAGTTGCACGACACCCTATAAACATATTCGGAGGAATGACTTCTGCTGATAGGCGGCTGCAAATTAATACTTCTTGGTCTCTGCAACACTCTGCAAGAGCCCTATAGTTGAATCCAGCGGTACCTTTCCTTAGTTATGCCGTCAGCAACACTATCGTTGTGAAGTTTATAAGCTTTCTTGGCCCTCGTCAGAGCTCCAATGTAGCTTGATCGTCCTCTGTAGCTTCGAGAAAAACACTAGGCTAAGTTGATCTAGTAGGCTGGGGATGAACTCACAGGAAGAGAGCAGGGTATAAGAATGCCATCACGAAGACCCAGAGCGTCAGAAAAATGATAAAAACCACACGAACCTGAGCACCCATGAATGCGCACACAGGTTGACAGTGGTGAGAAACTGCTGCGTGGGCTTTCGCAGTGATGTTTCATTGAATTAGGTAGGATTGTGCATGCATCTCCTCCAAGCGAAGTTGCTGCCCTTACCCAATACCATATTGGTCGGTAATCTACACGAAGCCCTGCAGAGCCAAGCAAGTCTTCCCATTTCCTTCCCTCTTGTGGCGTTGTAAGACGGGGGTCACGGTTCGGATGTTCGCGCCCCAAACCCACCTGGAGCACAACAATTACTGCGAAACAGCTTTCGTCACTCTTTCTGCCTCAAATGCAACGGCGATTTTAGAGGGCCCACAACAGTTCCTTTGCGCATCAATGAAACAACGTCCCACTCTTTGCCTGTGTCCTTGGCCACTTACTGGCCTGCTCGTTGCCTCTGATTGAGCCATAAACTGCAGAGTCACTTGTACGTAGCCAAACGTCGTTACATCCACGCTCTCATGAGCACGGTTCTGTAACCTCAGTTCCGCGTCAAGCTCAATCGACGCCATTGTTTGAGCAACTTTCCCCAGGTATTTTCGCACTTCTAGATTTACCTAAAGCACCTCAAGCATCACAAGGCTCATCGATTTGAGGCAAAAGAAAATTGGCTTGGTGTACCCTTTTTCGGGAGCAATGAAGTCTAAAAATGACGCTCAAGATGATGCTATGTCTTCTCGCCCGATATCGCTCAATGCTAGCCCTTCAGAAAAGCACCTCCCCAATAAAGGGTAATTCTCCGATATTGCGGAAGTCGTAGGCGGAAATCTGGATTATGCAAGAATTAACTGGCGCCGCTACTCCCGAGTAAACGACGCGCCAATTGAAAACTGCAGCTCCAGTCTTCGAGTAATAGTGAACGTCCGTGCTCTGCTGCAATTGCTGGGGCCCGTGGTACCTGGTGCAATCCAGTGTGCACCGTAAGATGGCATCGACTGATTCCTTGCTCGATCCCAAATGCTTGAAGTGCAGGCCTCGGCACCCCCAGAGAACAACTCTATGCCACAGAGCACTCACACACATATAATTACTCTTCGAGAAGGAATACGTGGAAAGCAAACCAAAAGCATGTATTGGGAAATAACAAATATGGTCATTATCCACAAGTCACTTGACTCCAAAAAATTTGAAGGCAGTACTTGCGGTGGTGTCGGGGCATCGTTGCCGTACCGGATTTCAATGTCAGTGGCTGAAGGTTTTTGAAGGTTAAACCGAGGAACTTTGCCCGCCTTTTGTGAGTCCATCATCTCCACCCACATCTCAAGGCTGCCAGTAATACCGCCATTCGGTCGCCTTCTAAGCGGCCTATACTCCATGGGTACTTCATTCTTATGCATGAAGCCTTGCCATTCTTTGGAGAACCAACTGCACGTTCGACAGTGAGAGTCTTGAAACAAACAGTAAGCGACAACAGTATGTCCCCTCTCCCGCTAGAAAAACGAGGCCACTACTAGTTAATAGCACCTATAGGGGGGAACGGAAGCAAACAGTGTGAGTTTGCTCTTTCTTGTCGCGAAGAAAGAGGTCACTGCACCCTACAGAGCAAAGGGCTGGGGGTAACACTGCTGGGCAGTTCTTCTAGCCTGTACATCTAAGTGAGCGTCCATTATTGCAAGGTACCGCACCGCTCCTCCAAGTCGATCACAGTGCTTCCTAAGAAGACATCGTCCACCTGCTGCATCAGCTTCTCATGGGCACTCCATACGCTTATCTCCAAGCGTGATTCCTCAGGGAATGATATATCCCTTTCCCACATGGTAAAAAAGTCGGGGTTTAGACTTGTAGGTTTGTTTTCCGCACGAAAAGGCATCTGCAGCACACCTTTGGTAAAACGATGAAGTCATAACAATCACCGCCGAGAGGCATTTTAGAAGATTCATGGAAATTCCAATCATGATAAACTTGCTTCATAGGCATTAATTTCCACCAAAGTGAAGCATGAAACGAAACACGACTTGGCGGTGAAAAGTGAGGTGTAATTGCAGTGCAAAGGTACCTTTGTCTTTCCGACAGAAAACACCAGGTACGGGTTCGCAACGGTCATCCCTTTAAGAAGATGGACGTTGATCGCTCGGATGACATACACGCGGATCTTGAGTGTTTTGGGATAAGCTTCTTCCCCTCTGAAGTGCCTCCGAAGGCGCGACTCGTTAAGCGCCCATGGGACAACTGTCTGGTCAACGTGCATTGAAGGTTCTTCTGAGAGCAAAATGATCAATAAGCACTTTGTTTTACATGATAACTACAGTCACCTGATACAACAAAACTTTTCAAACTAGAAACTAATGGGATGATGCAGTATTAGAAAGCAGAATTTTGTGGCTGGGGTGCGCATTTCACTCACCGTTGTGCGTAAGATTGACAAAAAATTTCACAGAACCAGTATGTTGTGTTTCTCCCATGGCCCTCTTCTTAAGGGGATCAGGTGCGAAATCAACATCGGCTAGGTAGTTTTCAACTGTCGATTCAACAGACGGCCTCTGAAATTGTTCCTTTGTTTTCTTCTCTGCTGCTCGCTTGCCCTCGGCACACAAGACAAACCTATAACACCATTACACAGCACGTGTACCTAACCGGACTTGGGCAGCGTCTACTAGCTCTATCCTGAAAGGCCGAACTGCCCTATACCCAAAGATCCATAAACCCGTAAAAGGCGGACGGCATAAAAAGTTGGCACTGGAGAGGACGTTCACCATTTATTAGACGAGCCCTAGCAACTTGTGTACTTACTTGGCAGGAATAAATACATTCAAGGTGAACATACTGGTCACCAGGAGTACTGGCCGGTCAGAAGGAAGGGCGTATGACTGCACCAGTATCTTTGGTAAGGAGTCTGGATTGAGCCAAAGTGATGAAACCCCCTGAAAAAATTCACAACGTGGCGTTATGGCAAGGTGTGCATCCCGCCCTAACCCTGATGCCAAGTCTTCGGCCACAGTGGAAACACATGTTTCAGATAACCATCAAGTATTTTCGGCGTAAATTGTGCATTGAACGGAGAACTATAGTCCTACAGCTCCCTCGAGCCCCCGCGTTGACTTCCGCTGCTCTGTGATAGCTGTTCTTACACGACTGGACTCATCCTCTAGGGCTGTAAATAACTGGAGCCCTGACAGGACGCAGGCAACACCTCGCCATTGCACTGCCCACGAAATGAAACAAACAGAGAATGATCTTAAATATAGCTCACCTCTGCTGCTTGTTCATGCTTCAAAACTCCTACATGATGTAGATAGCGGGACTGGTTTGCCTCAGCAGTTTCTCGATCGGCTGTACTAACAGCGTCTAGAACCACATTCATTGTGCTAAATTCCTTTTTGTTTTTCGCCTTGCTGCCACGCATGATCCCCCCTGAAGGCAGCACGTATGGTGGAACGAAGCTGAGGATACATCGGTTCATCGATCCCCGGCGTAGGCCTTGTACTATGCAGTCACGTTTCACAACTTAAATTCATTCTGTAAGCACGGTGTCAAGCCATCAAAGTAGCAAATGGAAAGAGGCGGACCTATCTTTTTCAGGTCAATTGAGTCCTCATAATCCTTCGCAGGCTGAATATCTTCCAGGGCTGTAGGAACATCGGTTACCCATGGAATCAGTGGAATTAGGTGCAGGGTATATTGCCCGATGAAGTACTTTGGCTTCGCCTTTCGATCGTATACCTGCACGCAGGAATCCATGAAAAAGGAGCTCCGGAAACTGCACAGCTTTTGCATGGACGTCAAATTCGCAGTTTCATCCGCTGAATGACGGAATAGCTCTATGGCTACGCCACTGTGGCTAAGCCTGTATGCGTGATTGCAAGCACACGCTTCGACAAGTTGCAAAACTAGGACCGCTTCCACAAATCTGCAAGGGTTATTTATATTGTCCCCACTATTGGATATCACACATACCTGAATAGTGAGGGTAGGATCGAAAATAGGATCTTCGGGAATATCTACGTCGAGCGACACCGCCTTGAAGATGTCAAAGCTTTCGTATGGCCCATTAGACCACCTCCGATTGGGAGTCTGCCCGCAGAACACATGTTTCGGGCGGGAACATCAGTGAAATCCCTACAAACACTGAAAGAGCATGTAAATAGGCAAATAATTTTATTCAATTTTTCCTCAGAGTCCACAGAAAAGTATGACCATGAAGGCAACACTGGCACAGTCCACAGTTGTGAAGGGTCCTTATGTACTCAAAGAACAAAAACCACAGACTTACGCTGGGGTCTCCACCAGCATTGCGCTCATACTGTATAGTCGCCACCGTTCTGTCACGTCCTACGGACCCAAACGATGGGACCGATATCAACACGATGGGGTTTCTGATGCGTCTTAGGCCTTCAAACTCGTCTTTGACTAACTTTTCAAAATCTATTGGACGACCTGAAAATATCGGAGATGCTCTCAGAGTGGTTGCCATCAGTAGAAATACCCAAATATGCTGATAAAATTGAGCAAGACGGTTAACTGATGGTTCTACGAATTCATGCAATGGAAGTGCACAAGCTCATGTGGAAAATTCGGTCTTGGCACTATGTTGTGCACACCTTTCGGAGTTAGTAGCAAATCGCGCAGGTTCACGCAGGAAATGCTGAGTTTGCACATATTCACGATAGGCCGCATCGGGTACGCTGGCAATATCTCGGCATCCTTCTTCCTTATAAGCTCGAAGCAGACTAGGATATCCCCGCGATGCTTGTTCATCCGCTTTCCCCCTTTGAGTTTAATCCACCGTGGCTCAGCAACAGAAGGAACCTCTCCGGTCTGCAGCAATAGCAGCGATCACAGCATTCAGCCTTCGGCATGTGCTTCGAACGGGATAAAACACAAGGAACCCAAGTCGCCCACCCATAAGCATAGAGGTCTGCGAAGCCAACAAAGCTGCGGTGCGTAGATATCTAGGAAATTTTCTACCTTTAATTTTCCTCTCAAACGATCATAGTGACAAACAGCCCTCCCAAGAAGCTGCCGACCCCAAGAGCGGTCGTCGAATACACTGGTGACGATGGGAGCAAACGTTGGAAGTCGTGTAGCTGTATCAGTCTGAATTCGATGTCACAGGAACACGATAGTACTACCTTCAAACTTGAACGCATATAGGCCTGTTGAATGGTAAAAATAAAGATTAGTCACTTGTCGGCAGCATGTGCATCGCAGGCAGATACGCTACGGTCAACTGAAACTCGGCGTACGCACCATTAACCTCAATTCCAGCTGAACACACTCCATGAAGACGGGATTGGAAGTCGCTTCACATGGTTCCGTTTCTTTGGTAACACCCGCGCAGGTTACCTACGCATGACACCGCAAAAGTTTCTTTGCTTGTAGCTGACACCCCACAGCCAGCGCCAACGAATACAACCATGCTGCCTTGCAACAAACCCTTTAAGAATGCAGTAAAAAGGGAGTTTAGCTGGACTCTTTATTTGTATGTGTGTCTCTTTAATAGATATATCTGTGACGCTAAGCTTTGCTATATACGAAAGCCCAGCCAGGCAAAAAACTGAGGGAATTACTAAAGCACCTGGATCAATGGGTTCGGGAGGGCTCCACTAGGCGAAGATATTCGGCGTGCTGTATAAATGTAGGTTCGTAATAAGTACTCAGCAGCGACGATATATTTGCGCCTGTCCACAAGAACACAAGTGGAAAGTGCTCAGAGGCATTGGGCTCTAGAATTCCACAAGCAGGTCGGCTATTACTTTAAAAAGTTGAATACTCTTCGGTATATCGTGTAGCAGAAGGCTTTACTGACTTTGTCCGTGCAGCCGCTTCCGTCTTTGCCTTCTCCAGCGTCATCAGTACAGCAGAAGGAACCCGATGGCCGGAAAGATGTGGCATGGGATGCAACGGAACCCAAGTGGGTGCCCGTGGGTTGTTCTGCATGTAAATAGGGACCTTGGCCAGTCTGAAAAAAGAAGAAGAGACATGTGTTTAAAGTACTACCAGATAATAACAAATCCAACCGACGGAATCGCTTCTAGAGTGTTTAAATGCAGCCCTTTTTGGGCGTCACGAACCCGCATGTTGACCAGTACTTGAGCTTAAAGAGTCCACAAAAACCCACGGCATTCGCTGGTAGGCAACGCGCGTTGCATGCGGTAAGTTTTTGGTTATCCCCTTGGCATAAACATTAATAATAACATCCCACTGTTGTTTCTCTTCCTCAGGTACCTGTAAGCGGCAAGCAGCATTCCTCAAATGGCAATGGTCAGCCTTACACACAGGCAGAAAGAGCAAACTGCTACTCTCACAACGATATCCATAAGCTCAAGCTAAGATTTGTGGCCGTTTCTCCGCCTGAATTCCCCTATAAATGTCCTATGCACCGTAAGAACATATTTTACCGCATCCCCTAACTAAATTATAAAACTCAGCAACGTCTCTCTGAGGATTGGGAAGTTCTTAGGTACGTGTTCCAAGTAGACAGCCACACGTACGCTCAAACGCAACTCTGGAATACGGCCGTCCACGGGGGTAAATATAAAATGATCTTGACCCTCAGGGGTAGCTCCCAAAAAGTAGTTGGCCATGCCCTTTGCACCCTCCAGAGCAGCAGCTACTGCAGAAGGGGCATCCCCCAATTCGCGCTCCCTCCGCTTTAGGGATTCACCTTGAACACCGCATGACAAAACCAAAGCCCAAATACGAATAGTAATACGAAGTGACAAGCCAAAATGTGCACCAACCGTCTCACACAGATTTCTCAAAGGCCAAATTTCTGAATAAGTATATTTCAAAACTTCTATGAAACCCAGATGTGCACTATTTTTCGTAGAGCAGTACAACAAGCAATCTACTAATATTTTCTTGCCAACATCACCAGCCCTGTCACTTGAGAGGTGATGAAGTCAAAGCGTACTTGCTACCCATCTAGTTCTCTCCTTGGCGGGGCCTAAAGATGCTTCCACGTATACCTTGTCACCAGGTGCACCTTGAACCTGGATATACACAGCAGATAGTTGGTCGACCTGTGGGAAACCTAGGCATAACGCCAGTCAGCACTCCTTTTGCGATACTCAGCCGAAGCGTGAACAATACTGCACATCTGACCTCGTATACGTCCGCAAAGAGCAAAATCGGAGTCACGCGGGGCTCTTCAAATGGAGCAGCTGCAATGGAATGCGCTGCCAGGAGCTCAGCATCCTTGCTAAGCCGCTCTGCTCGGGCACTCAGAAGTAAGCGCCCCATGTAAGTGCATGGTGTAATCTTGCCACTTTCTGCAATAATCTCGGAGAAATTGGGAATTTCTCCAACGTCAAACCCGTAAAAGTTAAACCACCTGCAATACAGCAGTGCATTGGAAAGATTGCGTGGATTGCCTTCGCCTCTTAAGACGCCTAGGAGTAAGCAATCAACATCATTATCAAGCCCATTCTTATGCCTCAGAAAACTGTTGCAGCTCTAAGCGGCATCTGCAAAATCTAGCAGCAATCAAGATTAGTCTTCACCCACGTCCTCACCGGGGGAGAATATGGCGAGTTCGCAACTCAGAGAATGATATGCGCCCCTGACAATCGACAGAGAGAAACAAATCCGGTTTGTTCTTCCAAGACCCGCTCTCTTTATCGCAACTATAGGTATCAACGAGTGTGCAAGGCCCAATAAGGGAAGTGCGCACGGTGGCACAGCATGCGAAACTTACCACCGCCAGCAATTCATCAGCGCTCATGAAATTCCAGTCCCATATTTTGATCAAAATAGTATCTTCAGTTACCGGAGTCATCACAGGAATGCGAAAGCATTCATTAAATGTGTAAGAACACGTTGCACGCGCTTGTGCCTGGTAAGACAAAATCACAGAAAGCGTATCTTAAGGCCAATGTTGAATGCAGCTACAGTTGACTATAGTGGTAATATGCTACTTGTGAGCCACCAAGCTTACCGTCCTCACACGACAGCCAGCGAATTCGCATACAACAAATGGGTCTCTCAATCCTGAGGTCGACAAGGCACAAGCACGAACTGGTACAGTATGAAAAAATACGCGCAGAAAAGCTGCCAAAGTCTTTCGTCAGGCGGCAAGCCTATGCTTTCTGCCTGTATTCTTGTATTTTGATACTTCATAGATGGCTTTGCTACACTCGCTGTCCTAATTGAAGGAACAGTGTCCAAAACTTGCCCTTCGATGCTTGTGGCAGATCTTCCAAACGATGAACTGTTACGTACACATTAAATGGCCGAGTGCCTTCCGCCCGAATTTGATCCTCTGAGAGTTGCAAACAGTAGAGGTACGAATACTGGCGGTAATTGCGGTAAAATGATTTGGGCTCTTGCAGTTGCTTGTCCTCTGCAATCAATCTGCAAAGATGGTCGGATTCAGTGCCCGGCGAAAGGTGTACAGGTGAACAGACAGGGAAGGCTCCTACTGAAGCCTGCTAATCTGATGAGGCCATAGCATACTAGCATTCTAAGAATATCAGGCTCACGGCTGCTGTCGATAACAACATTTCTAAGGTCGTCCAAAAATCCATGGTCTTCGTCGTCTGTATCTTCCAGCTCCTCTCCAGGGCTAGGAGGCGATTCACCAGGGCCGCAGGCAAATACTGTAACCCTGAGGGATCCCTGAGACGCAGATGGGAGGTAGTACATCAAAGAAGAGGGGTCAGTCATCCCAAACTCTTGCGCAGGGTGCTCTAAACCGCGATCTTTCGCAACAAGGATGAACGCTTGGCCCATTATACAACACAACGATCTATAATGACTGTCTTGAATCTTGCCGTTTAAGAATAAAACAAAAGACTTACATGTAAGTCACCTCCATCGGGGCTTTGCAAGGGTAGCGACTTTTTAAGCTGGTGGGTTTTCCGTTTCTGAATGAGAGATAGCTGCAACGCGACAATTCCAACGGTGGTATTCCTCCAGAATGCGTTTGCAGCTTGAACTTCGAACTCTATGAAGGATCTCTCCCACTCCTGCGGATACACGCTGCCGTGAACTTTAATAAAATATTGGTGTTCCGCAATACCAAATAGTACATTTACTGAGTCACACAGTTTAATAAAAGTACTTTATCACTTGCTCAAATAGCCGTCAAAATTATCAGTGTTGTCTGGGGTGCTGTTTAGAACGTTCCACATGGCATGTCGTCGTTACGGTGTCTCGCATTCACAGGATTCCTTCATCGAAGCGACCTAGAGCCGAGAGTATCCCTCTGGCTAAAAATCGATTTAAAACCACCCAGACTGATTAAAGTCTGATTCTACAGAAGTACTACTGCTTCTGCTATTTCCGTAGGAAGTGAATGTCTCACATCGCTGCTCAGCTCTAAGTCAGTCCACGTATGCGACTCGTCCCATGATACGACGTTGGCCTTTGAAAGCTTTATGTCTGAACGATACTCCCGGCCGCAACAACGCACGACAACCAGAGGGTCTATGGGTTTGCCCTTTTCCCTGACAAGATTCAGGGCTTCGTGAATGGTGAAGCCAACGCTGAATGGCTTCTTCATTGTGATCGCAAGCTCCCAGATCCTTCAGCTCATACGCCAACACGCCTTAGTTCTGCATGCAGATAAAGAATAAATACCATTTTCCCCAGGAATTCCTTAATCCGCGCAGTCAGTAGGAACCAGCCATGCAGGGAGGTCGAGGACAATTCAATGAAAGTAGAAATGCCTTTCTGGATGTCTCTTAGCGCTCCAGCCCTCACTGATAAAATTACAACTGTTTTTTAAATACTGATATATTGAAAACAGATCTGAAGCAGTGTGTTTTCACCTCAAGGACTGTCCGGTTACGAGATGTTCAGCCAATGCATGTGACCACTGCAAGCCCATTTTAGGATATTCATTGGAGATTGAGGCCATGAGAGCTCTGTTATGGATAATTTTGCCAAGAAGTATAGTTTAGTGAGGACCTCCTAGTTTCCTCTTGGAACCTGGAGTTACTTGGCTAACTTTCTGGCTGAGCTCACCCAGAATGTCTCTAGCGGCCTCCAATACGGGGTCATAGCCATGTAAACAATACACGAAAACTTAAGTATCCAATTTTACGGATTCTTCCCGCTTCTTAGCTCATGCTCAGTTTCATTGTCTATAACTTTGCTTCTTCAATGTCTGACTTGCTTCCTCAGACCTTTCCTGTATGTGCGGGCGTGCAGTTTATTTTACCAATTCAGATGGGAGCGTTCCGTCTTCCTTAAAGCTATTTGCTCGGATTCTGCCAGCAAATTCTTCGTTGCCTTCAGCTATTGTCTTAAGTCCAAGGCTTCGATAGTCAGCATCATCACTCGCTACCCTATTCATGCCCTTCGTCCAGTGGCTTTCGCTTTCAGCCACGTCTCGTTTCCACGCTTTTCGTCGCATGTTCATTGTTTGACCTTGTTGGATTCAATGTTTTCCATTTATCATGTACAAGTAATTGAATTCATTGAAGCGATTGCCTTTTTAGCTATTCACACTCTTTAAACATGGACCTTTCCCAAATGCCTTCACTCCACTGGAGCAATGCTAACCCTGAGGTATTCTTGGGGACAGTCGCAGCAAAAGACCAGTGGAATCTTAAAGGATTGGTCAAATCAGGCTAATAAAGCAGCCTCCATGGCCATCAAGCCATAGAATTCTAAGCCAAAAGGGAGCATATCCAGCCAAAAGTGCAAGTAGCTGCACCCTCTGAATACTGCAAGTAATGGCATTTAGTTGCGCACACCAGGCTGACGAGCACGTATTAAGCAAAATAAATTTTTTTTCTACGTGAAGCTAGCTCCACCTAGTAGCAAATACAAGGTAAGTGTAGCCCACGTTTCCAGCCATATCTTTATCAGAGTATGACTGAATACACGGTGCCTTGTTGTAACTGCTCAAGTGTAGCATACCTTGTTATATATTTCTTGAGTTTCTCTTATTTCCTTTGCAAAGACATTCCATTCGCATTTTTCATTTTAATAGTTAGGTCGAATTGGGCGAACCTTCATCAAAGCGAAAGCTTGTAGGCATAGTACCGAGCTAAAATCTGCATGGGCTAAAATATATACGAAGGTGAATGAGGTCACAATCATTAGCCCGCGACATATCCGTGTTTTTGTTTTGTTTGATTCATGGAGTGTGTTCCACATAGTTGAACTGCTGGGTAAAGTCTGAGCATAGGGCTTGCTGTTGTTTTCCTAGTAGTGTGATCCAAAAATACAATACGAAGTATCCAGAATTACAGACGGGCTGGCAGATTGGGCATGGAGGCATGGTATTGTGTCCAGCAGCAGTGGGTTACAGCGGTAATCGTCCGCTCTATTTTTGGTCCTTCACTGTATAGAAGAATACGAAAGAAGTCCCTATCAAGTCCATTGCTCCTTTTGCTAAGCGAATACATGTACCTAATTTACAGTTGTGCTGGCTTCTGCATGCTGAATAGTTTTAATCACTTCCCTCTGGATTGCTGTGAGGGAGTACCTAACCGTACCCTGGCTGTCCATCCAGGCGGTGCGCATTATTTCCTCAAAAGATTGTCTAGATGAAACTTTACTATTCATGCAAAATAATTGCCCTTGAGAACATTTTGGCTCTCCAGCATGCCATGCTACAGGTATCGTAGTAAAGGATGGAGACGAGAGGGCCACAAATGCACGCACGCAAGCTTGCAGTACTCAAGTATATGCCACTATTTAGAATCACCTGACAGACGCAGAGGGGGACCACAGAGATTTATTGAGCCTGTATGATCGGTTACTCGGCAACAGAAGCATAAGGCATCAGCTGATCGATGAAGAAATTTATTTGAACATGACTTTCTTTGTGATGTTATAGCGGGCTAACCTACTCTGAAACACTTTCTACTACAACTGTTATATTCAAATGACAGTGAGTAAGCAATTGACCAGTCAGATTGTGTACTCGTATATTTTACTTCTTGCATTGTACTGCTAACTCGATACAAGGAAAATTATTGTCCTGTGTGGGCGCGGTAGATGGCATGTGCAACCAGCTGAGTGTTCAAAGTGCTTATCAGGTGCAGCTGCGCGCACACCAGCCTGCCCCGTTCCTTGATGTCAAAACTCAGAGGGACACCTGCGCGCGAAGATGAAAGCTCTTACGGCAATTACTCAACAGCGTTGTACTACGTTTGTATTTCTGAAGTTGACATCATTCAAAGGAGACCCTAGGTGTAGCGCCACAAAAAGCTTCCCGTTACACAATGAACGCAGACTGTACCACGAAGCGTGAACAGCCCCGTAAAATTTGTGAAAAGAGATAAAACATCGGGTTTGTCTTGCGAAAGCATATATGCAGCGCTTCACATTGAGTTTTAATGGGCAAGCAATTTAACCCGTACCCGGATACACACTTCCTAGAAAAGTTCTTAAATGTTCCCCCTCACGAGCTCTCATCACTCTCACTAATCTCAGCATGCATGGGTCCGGCAAGGAAGACCTGAGACAGCTAGACTGCACGTTTGCTCACCCTCGAACCATTTGGATTATTTACACACTTGCGCATAGTAAAGAACTAGCATCGTATACCTGAGCACTAATTTTTATCGAGCTAGCTCTAATGAGCAGAAAAGGCATCTTACACATGACTTTACCAGATTTCTCAATTCGTTACTAACTCCTAGTTGAATATAAGTATTGTAACAAAAAGCACCACAGTGTACCTGTGCCTGCTGTAACCGTAGTCTACTGCCTTGTGCAAAGAAAGCTGAGGCGTGTGGCAGGAGGTGCGCAGCTGTAGAGGCTATTTATATTTTTGGAGTTCAATGAATTCCAAGTACTTTGTACAAGTGAGACATCACATTTGTAGAGCCCTCTCAGAAGAACTTTGCTAGAACTCCATACAGTTCCGTTTGCTCTAAACGGTCTAATAGCGGGAACCCATAAAATTACGAATTATATCGTAACATGGCAAACAAAGATTTGAAGACTGCATTTGTCCAACGTGTATGAGGCCTGAGCTTGGACAATGGCACGTGGCTGGGAATATCATTGCCTTCCTGATAGGTACCACTCTCTTCTACCCCCGCATCAAGTTGAAAATTGCATCACAAAGATAAGCAAGCATGTCTATTGATCACCTGGTTCTATCTCCTCAAATACACGCAATGATAAAGATTTAGCTGTTAACCGGAGGACCAGTGCGACATGCTCGAGTCATTTGAAAGGACAATCTACCAGCCGCCACCCCATTGGCTGGAGCCAAAAACACCACAGGCCCACATAGAACTCGGCGACATCCAGCCCACTATTTGTCGATAAAACATCAAACGTACAGAAATTTGGATGTTCTTGTGCGTACTTTACCGTCTTTTGATATTTGAGCGGGCCATCACCGCTCTGGGATCTTGCGCATGCACCATCTAATCCGTAGCTCATCCAACGAACATATAGCAGAGTCTCGCGACACTCGCTGCGGAGCTGCATTCCCTTTCCATAAAGCAACATTCTGGATGCTTTCCTGTTTAACTTAGCTTTTAAAGCAATTCCAGCGCCAGGACCAGCAGCAGCAAGAACCATGGCACGCACTAAACAGACCGCCCGGAAATCTACCGGAGGCAAGGCTCCCCGCAAACAGCTGGCGACTAAAGCAGCAAGGAAGTCTGCACCTGTCGCTGGAGGGGTGAAAAAACCTCACAGATATCGCCCTGGAACCGTTGCACTGCGTGAAATTCGCAAGTTTCAAAAAAGCACAGACCTGCTCATCAGGAAATTGCCTTTCCAACGCCTTGTCCGCGAAATTGCCCAAGACTTCAAGACAGACCTTCGGTTCCAGAGTCAGGCTGTCCTCGCCTTGCAGGAGGCGGCAGAAGCATATCTTGTGGGTTTGTTTGAAGACACGAACTTGTGTGCCATCCACGCGAAGAGGGTTACCATCATGCCAAAGGACATTCAATTGGCCAGACGAATCCGTGGTGAACGGTCGTAGGTGCCTAAGCGCTTCTATTCTTAGCCGAACTCCCGTTGGGACGCCCGTCCCGGAATGATCAGCCGCCGCTTTTTCGCTCTTCAGGGAGTGGTCTGTGCATGAGGATCTGCGGAGGGAATTAAGTGTATGGCGTGTGAACCACATATTAAGTAATGAGGAGGGAAAGCTACGACTGGATTTTTTTGTACCAGTCGCTAACTTGTCATTTTGGGTACTTATTAAGGTTGCGGTGCGAGGAAGCCCACTGCCATCGCCATTAGCGGCTTTTCTGTGAATCAACGACTATCACAGTGCATCCATCTTGTGGTATAAGAGGCACTATTTCGCCCTTTGACTGCATATACCCACGGGCAACGAATTTCGGTAAGCCATCCAAGATAGGTCTAGTTATTGCATGTAGACTCGCAGATTAGACAGGCAGAATGGTTGGCTCCAGGCCTTTCTAGCCCGCTAGTTTCCAACAGATAACGGCAAATACTACAAAGCGCATTCTTGTCTATATGCTGCGTTCCGACTAAACGCACACTCAAATCCCCATCCGTCGAGGACCGGTGCATAGTACCCACGCCTTTCCGGTTTTTACTCCCCAATTGCTTGACTCACATAATTCCACCTTTTGGCCATCTTCACTACCCTAGCGAGCTAACAGACACCCCACGTACTTGGTGATTTGCTTTTTCCAGGTTCGCTTGCTCCTGAAGCTTTGTTAGTCAAAATAAGCTGTACAGAGGGCGCCGTTCCGACAGCTCCGAAGTTGATTCTAATCACGCCCGATTGGGGCAGCGTAGTTTTGGATTTAACTAGGATGTGAAACCGATCCAAAGGAGAACTGCGTTCGTGACCAGGTACACAGGAACACCATATGCGAGCCGAAGCCAGGGGCCATGCACGGTCCTCTGCATCACTTTTGCAGAGCACGTAGGCCCGACAAAAAGTAAGCGGAGGAGCAGGAAGTCGGCTCGTGCTCCGAGCAGCATAATGCCGGCTGTCAACCGAGCAGAATACCTCGTGATCGAAAAAGTTCTTTGCCCCTCTTTCACGTTTCATGTATCACTTCCCTTCGTAATACCTCTCAGCTCCGGCACACAAAGAAAATAAAAAGCATTCAACGCTCATCCACCGCCCTCTTTGGCCCTGGTGCACGGCGTATGACCTTCGGGACACAAAATCCACAGAAATGCTATCTTTCTTACGACTATAACCACAGATGAGCCCTTAAGGGGCGGTGGGACACAGAACGCATCTCCATACACAAAAGATAAAAGAAGGCTGGCGCCGCCCTTTTACGGGTGAGAAGCCAGGTGATTGGAAGGGCACAGAGATAGTAAACCTTCCCATGCTCCATTGAATTTCATAAGAAGGCACACTTGATTAAAATTCACCTGGCTCATTCATCTGCTGTTCTTAACGAATTTACTGCTCCTGCATTACCGAACGAGTTCGGAACCTGCTTGCTGTTCTCAACGTCAACCCGAGCTTTGCCGGTCAAAATGACGATTGTTTGAGCGATAAAAACCCTTGAGGAGGGTTTCACCATCGATTATAATATACAGTCCGCTGTTGTCCAAAGCAGTCCAGCGCTCCACGTTGCTTTCGTACCGCTTCCTTAGTGTGTCTCTGCACCAATAAGAAAAACAGTAGATTTACGAGCGGGCTGTCACGTGCGTACCATGCTTCTTGCTGCTGTTAATTCGAAAATGGAATGGCCTGAAGCTATGGTAGACAGGGAAGCATCCACAATGTTGTAACATGGAGGGGGCATGCAGTGCACGTGAAAATGATCGGCATCATCAAGAGAGCACCCTGATTAGCGTCGACACAGTCGGAATGAAAACAGGTGATCTAGCAAACAAGGGTCAATTTCCCAAGAAAACCTTAATCAGAGAAGCATCAATACCAAGATCATAACCACGGTCTAAAAGACAAACAGCGCCAATTGTATAAGATGCACGTGTATATACGCTCAACTTCGCGTAAATACTAAAGTGTATACACTCTAACAGGACAAAAAATAAATGTGACACATAACTGTAAACACATGTACACATACGCGCACACTCGTATCAACAACAGCAATGACCTGGGCCTCGAAGCACGGATGTGGGCAGCATCCCAATATGATGCATGCATTTATGTACGTAAGTGTACCTGATAAAACCTATTTGCGGTTCTTCATTCTCATATGATGCTTCTATCCCCTCCAGTTCGAGCAAAAGAGGCTCCACAAGAATCCTAAGAAAGGCGACTTGGTTTTGTGCTAAGCATTGATGAGATTCCCGATTGCAGACGGAAGAGACAGGAAGCTTCAAGCGCTTTTCAGCGTCTCCCTACCACAAAATAAACCAGGGTCAAGGCACAGAATCTGATAGCAATGAGCAAGCAAACAAGAACAAGGCACAAGGATAACAATACACCGAATGAAAAGTGATATGCCAACCACTACGCAGGCATCGAAAAAGTGCAAAAACAGTAAAAAACAAGGAAAAAAGCAAACATATGCAGAAAAGTCAGTGAAACCACCGGTAATATGTGAAAAAATCGAAGAAATATACACGCGCCAATTTACAACCGCAGAAGAGGAGGAAAGCAAAGTATACGCATCTAGGCAATTGATGCAGAAGAAAACGATTAAAAGCTAGAAAGCTTTTCTAGCCTCTGCGAGCATTTAAAACTGCCGATCCACGGATACACGTCAAGTATTACTAGAACTCAACGATGACGCGAGATTGGGCGACTGCGTAAGGGGGCACGACTGTTCTCTAGCAACCAAGAATGAGGAAGGGCTGTGTCACCGCCCAGATGTCACGCCAAGAGTAAAGATGCCACTAGATGAATTTACGCGAAATAGGGACAAACATACTGATGAAGAGAGGCACTTAGGTTGGCATAAAGACACCTACACGGAAAGAGAAACGAATCAGGATTAAGGAGGCAAAAGGAGAAGCCATCGACAAACAAGCAAAGATACCGACCTGGCGATAAAATTCTTCCGATATCTTACACGTCCAAATGAAATGATCCTTCCAACAGAGCAGGGCATGTGACAAATCTGCCATCTTCAGCACCATCTTCCTCACGTGCAAAGCGTCTTCTTCGCGGCGCAAAAAGTTGAAATCCGGGTTATTTCTTCGGATCTGCAGCAAATCGTAGAAATGAACTAGCAGAGCAGTACAGATACAGGAAGAGGCGCACACAGGTCATATTTGACTGAACTGTACTTTGAAAAGTACATAAAACTTTGTTGCAACAAAATGTACGGGTATATAAAGCCAACGACACAGATCCACTGGCAAAAGAGCAGTAGTACCCAAGGGTGTACTCCCGCATACGAAATGAGGCAGAGATGCTTGCGTTGATAGGCAAGTAGGCACAAAAAATACTCTCACATCTCAAAACCCTACATCCGCTTTTGCATGGAAAAGCGTTTCGTGTTACACACTTATGCCAGGTACAAAGCTGCGTCCCAGTACTCAAAAACGCATTTGTGTAAACGAAGAGACGTACTCTTGAGCGCGAGACCAAATCCACGTGCTCCTTCATGTCCGTAGCAAGAATAAGAGCAATTATCTGCTGCCTAAGCGACTGGTAAGACTATAAAAGCATCACAGACCCAGTGAGGAAAGGAGCCACATGTGTAGCCTCGAAGCACATAAGACAATGTACTAGGTCCTAAAAGCGCCTCTAGAGGTGCATTATAATGGCGAGTGGTAGAAGAGGCAAGTAACATATACCTCTATACTCTGGGAACAGAAGATGTTGGCTGAGGGACTGCAGAAAAAACAGTCGCAAACCATAATGCCAAATATCCGCGATGCTCAACATTATTAATTTCACCTCAGTCCATATCTCAGCCCATACACCCCTCGCCTCCCACTTCCCTGCGCAAAACCCACTTCTTCGGCTCTAGCAGTACCTCTTGCTGAATCCTGCGGTCCCTTTAGTGCTTTCAGTTAACGCATAAACCATTCCCCATAACTTCACCAACACCAGGACTTGAGCAGAAATGCCAATCCAACCCCACAATCCCCATGCATTAAAATAGTGTTAACTGTACATTTCAGTTATGATTCTGAAGAGAATAGACGCGTGGAAATTCTCTAGAATGGACTGATCGTTGTATATGGTGGCCAGAGGATGCCTTGACTGCTGCAAGAAGCCGTTGGTTCTTCCCAGGTGCCCCACGTCGTGTGCCAGAGCAGCAAGACTCAGACAGAAGGTCCCCATATCCTCACTGCAGACAAACACGCTGCTCATATCTGGCTACTCCGGGTATATAACAAGAAAGGGTTACTACAACAGTGGAAAGCTCGGGAGAGCCAAGCACAGCAGTCGCCGACACTTGCGCTTCACGCCCACTTACTTGTTCATTGTAGACGCACAACACGGAATATGCAAGTGATGGGAAAAGTCATATAGCGAGAACTCACTTAGTGGAGTCAAGGTGAAGCTTGGTGCTAAGCACCATCGCAGCGTGGGCTACCTGGACAGCGTGCGTCGCTGTGTGGTATGGAATGTCTGGATCATAGCGGGACTGAAGCAACATACAGGCGCTCACCAAAACCCGTTCACTACCCTATACCCCGATCATCTGTAGATTGCCTTTTAAACCATTTGCACGTCGGGAGTGTGGGTGTACTGAGCAGCGTGTTCCTATGTGCGAATACACCCCTGAATACCCGCTGGAGTACTCTGACATAGGCTATGCTTAGGGACAAGATATTGAAGGTGCGTGTCTGCATGCACTTGGGCTTGCACAACCAAGCGCTTCGTGTAGGTACCTCTATTTGCTGCAAAAGGCGTAGAATTGGCGTAACACCGCACTCCAAGAGCTGCACGAAAGGGCGCAGCAAAAGCCATCCGACGCGCTGCAGCATACCCTGATGATTCTGAGCGAGAGTCAGGATGTCCGTATCCCATTCAAGGCCAACTCCTCGGAAGCAATCCGGTAGGCACATGGACCCCTGAGGTAATTGAAACAGTTGACGTGCATCAGATATCAG